TTGAATTTTTGGTCTCTCCTGGGGTTTTCCTTTTGTGGCAAATCTGCTTTTACAAAGGTGGATTTCTCGTTGTAGCTTTGGTGGCTGATGGATTCCTCTGCTGTCCATCCCCCTGCCCAAGGCCCATGGTCCCCAACCATATCCCTACCTGTGGCCTGGAGAGCAGACAAGCCAGGGGGCCTCGGTGGAGTCCAGACTAGTGGCCTCCCGGCTACCGGGCTCCTGGGGACTCCAAAACAGCCATTTCGTTGGCCTTTCTGGAGGACCCGAGGCTCTGGGACACAGTGACCACACTGCCCACTCTGGGTCGACGGACGCCCGGTTGCTCATTGGCCTTCCTGGTGACCTTCCATCAACCCTAGAAGGCTCAGTGAAACCCTATAGTTTCCAAACCCAGTGCCAGGATGAGTGGAGTGGGCCTTTTCTGTGGTCGCCAAATGCCAAGGACACAGACGGACACCACCCTGCCACGTGCTACAGATGTGGCATAGGATTCAGAGGGGGGACAGAAAAGAGAAGCAGCAGAGCAGCCAGCTTGGGCCGGGCCAGATGTCTGTGTGCCTTGAGGTCCACAGTCCAGTAAAGGGGACATTGGGGCTGTCCCGTAGAGGGTTGAATGGTGGCCCTCCAAAATTCATGTCCCGAGAACTTCAGAGTGAGACCTTATTTGAAAATAGGGTCTTTCAGCTGTAACTAAGGTAAGGGTCGAGATGAGGATAGTGGATAAGGGTGGACCCTGAGTCCAGTGAGAGTGTCCTCGTAAGAAACAGGAAAAGGCACCCAGAGACAGAGAAGGGGGACACGTGAAGATGGACACAGAACTTGGAGTGACGCCGCCACAAGCCCAGGAATGCCTGGAGCCGCCGGAAGCTGGAAGAGGCGGGAAGGATTCCTTCCCAGAGGCTTCCAGAAGGGAGGGGAGCATGGTTCTCTGATTTCCGACTTTTAGCCTCCAGAACTGTGAAAGGATACATTTCTGTTTGGAGCCACAGGGTTTGTGGCAGATTGCCACGGCAGCCGTGGGCACTAACACACACCTAGTGCTCCACGTGTGTGCAGAGTCGGGGCGGAGGGAACAACTACCAGGCTCTGTATTAATGGAATTCCCAGGTGTCACATAATAAAAAATATGTATTTAGTCTCTGCCCCCAGTTCCTGGCACAGCCCTTGGAATTTCCTGGCTGATAGGAGTGTCTTTTGTTCTAATGAGGCGACTCTTGAAGGGCTCCTGAATGGGGCTTGTCGCCAGCAAGACCAAGTCAGGGTTGGAAGCTGGGAGCCCCCGTCCTCTGGGGAGGGGAGAGAGGCTAGAGGTTGAGTTAGCGATTGGTCATGCCCGTGTGATGGAGCCTCCGTAAAAGTCCCTAAAATACGGGGTTCAGAGCTTCCAGGTGGGTGGCTGCATCCGCCTGTGGGACATGGGGGTGCTGCACCCCACGCCGTGGGGACAGATGCCCCGAGCACAGCGCCCTTCTGGACCTCGCTCTACCTTCCTCCTCATCTGGCTGTTGGCCGGTGTCCTTTATCGTATCTCTTACTATGTAATAAGCAGGAAACATCAGTGTTTCCTGAGTTCTGTGAATCATTCTAGCAAATGATCAACCCTGAGGAGGGAGTCATGGGACCTCCCGATTTAGAGCCAGAGCACAGGTGACACCTGGACTTGTGATTGGCGCCTGACGTGGGGGCAGTCTTGTGGGACCCAGCCCTTACCTGTGGGATGTGCACTAACTTTGGATGGCTAGTGTCAGCACGGGACTCAATTGTAGGACACGCAGTGGTGGCTGCGGCGAACTGGAGACCTGCCCAGTGTGGAAGCCCGTGCTTTGGTCCCAGAAGTTGTGCACTGAATGTGAGTGTAGAGAAAAACCGTTCATCACATCATTTTCCCCCTTGTCCGTGTCGTAAATGGCACTAATTGATAGTCTGATGTTAAAAAACCCTGTATGCCTCGTGTAAACTCAATTCCGTTAAAATGCACCGCTGTTTCATGTGTTGCTGGACACAGCTTTTGTTCAGGGTTCTCACATTTACGCTCAGGACTCATATGGTTTCTGAGTTTTCTTTGCCAGCTGTCCTTGTTGGGTTTTGGTATCCAGGTTATTATATCCTTATGAATAGAGTTGGGGAACGTTCCTTGTCTTTTAATTTTTGGAACATTTGTGACATTTTATGATTATTTCTTTCTTGAATATCTGCGCATTCTGGCAAAGCAATCTGAGCCTCCAGTTTTCTTTGAGAGAAGATTTTTGCATGACTGCTTAAATGTATTTATCGGTGGAACACGACTATTCACATTTTCTCCTTCTTCCTGAGTCAGTTTTGGTAAATTATATTTTTCAAAGAAATTGTCCATTTCTTTTAAATTTTAAATGTGCTGGCATAAAGTTGTCTATATGTCAGTACCTTTTTCATGCCAACAGGAGCTGAAGTATAGCTCCTTTTTCATTTTTAATCCTGGCTATTTGTGTCTTCCTTTATTTTGTCTTTGTCGTTCTTACTAGGGGCTTGTCAATTTTCTTAACCTATTAGAAAACAAACTCAGCAATCTTCTCTAGCGCATACCTGTTTTCTCTGCCATTCAGTTTTGCTTTTATCTTTGATATTTCTTTCCTTCTTTTTTGGAGTTTATTTTGTTGTTAATTCTCCTTACTTCTGGAGATGATCGAATCATTAATTAATTCTCAGCTCTTGTTTTTTTTTTTGATGTATGTACTTACGATCACATATTTCTCTCCAAGCCCTGTAGCAGGCATAGACACTACACGTATTGTATGTCTTGCATTTGCCTTAGCATTCAATTCAAAATATTTCTAATGTTCATTGTATTTCTTTTTTGAGCCACGGATTCTTTAGAAGTGTTCTTTTAAAATCAAAACACCTGGGGATTTTTCTGGTTATCATTTTCTCATGATTTCTGTCTTAATCACATTGTGGTCAGACAATACACCTGATATATCGTAACCTGGAAATCTGTTGAGATTTGCTTCATACCTCTGTATCTGATTCATTTATGTAAATGCGGTGTGTGGTTTCTTTTAATTGAGGTAAAGGTTTTACTGAGGTACACACAATGCGGTCTACAGTTTTCAGGTTTCAGTTCAATGTGTTTTGGCAAATGCACACAGCCATGTCGTTCTTCCTCTTATAAAGTTATAGAAAATTCTAATCACCCCAGAAAATTCTCTCATGGCCATTCACAATCTGTTCCCATACCCAATCCTAGCAATCAGGCGACAGTGATTAGTTTTGCTTGTTCTGGAATTTCCTATAAATGGGATCATACAGTATACAATATTTTGTGTCTGACTTCTTTTGCTCAGCATAATGATTTGAGATGCATTTACGTTGTTGCCTACATCAACAGTTCCGTTCTTTTTATTGCTAAGTAGCATTTTCTTGTATGGTTATGTCAGAGTTTGTTTAGCCATTCACCCGCTGATGGACACTTCGTTTCCAATTTGGCTATAATAAATACAGCTACTATAAATATTGTAGGCAAGTCTTTTTTTTTTTTTTTTTGAGACGGGGTCTCCCTCTGTCTCCCAGGCTAGAGTGCCGTGGCGTCATCATAGCTCACTGCAGCCTCAAACTCCTGGGCTCAAGTGATCCTCCTGCCTCAGCCTCCTAAGTAGCTGGGACTACAGGTGTGCACCACCACACCTGGTTGGCTTTTTTTTTTTTAGAGACGGGGTCACACTATATTGCTCAGGTGGGTCTCAAACTCCTGGCCTCAAACAATTCTCCCACCTCAGCCTCCCAAAGTGCTAGGATTACAGGCATGAGCCACCATGCCTGGGCTTGTTATTTTTTTTCTTTTTTTCTACAGCTCTTACATAAATACCTAGGAGTGGAGCGCTGACCATGGGGCGGATGTATGTTTACCTTTCTAAGAATCTGCCACACTGTTTTCCAAAGTGGTTGCACCATTTTACACTGCTCCCCAGCAATGCATGAGAGTTTCAGCTGCTCTGCATGTAGCCAAGACTCAGTGCTCTCATTCTTTGCAATTTTAGCCATTCTGGTAGTTGTGTGTGTTTTGAAAGGATTCTATATCCTGCAGATACTGGGGGCGCTGTGTTATAGATGGCCATTAAGTATAGTGTGTTAATCATATTGTGCAAATCATTCATATCCTTATTCTTTTTGGTTCTATTACTTTCTAATGGTCACCTTAAAATCCCTTTCTCTGCGTTGGAATTTGTGGATTTTACTTTCATTATTTCATACCTTACTTTACATATTTTGAGAATATGTTAAGAGATACAGACAGATTTGGATATCTTCTTATGCATATTGAATATAAGTTCTTAAGAGTGTATTTTTATTAGGATGGGTCATCAGTGAAGCACGTGATAGCAATTTCTCACATTCCTGGGCCCTCGGTGTCCCCTCTTGGCCTTTGGTCTCTGTATCTCCCGCTCATAGCGGCTCTCTCCGGGATTCCTCCCTCCCGTCTCCAGCTACGGCAGCAGGGGCCTGAGGCAGAGACGAAGTAAAAACTCTTAAATGCAGTTAAGAAGACAAAACAAAAATGGGTCAACCAAAGCTAAACAGTTAACCTAAGCCAGACAATCCATATATTCACCGTTTCCTGACTTGACTTTTCAGAAACCGGACACCATCCACAGAATTGGTTCCTCTTAACCTCCCGGGCAATGGCTCCTCTCTCTGAAACCCTGTGGCCCTCCTGGTTGAAGCTCCCATTTCCCAGATGGGGAAACTGAGACTCAAGGAGGGAAAGCTACTTGCAGGAATCCCTTGAGTGGGAGGGGAAATGAGGAGGACACTTCAAACAGAACCTGGGTTTCTCTTAGACTTTATTTCTGGATTTAGGGGAAGGGGACACAAAAGGTGAAAAACCAGCTTTCTCTAACACTGGTAACGTTGAGTAAACATTCTGCCACCAGGGGGCACTGTATGCAGGAAAACATTCCAGGTGGGATTGGACCCCTGGGTCTGGGGAGGAGGGGGCTGGAGGCCTGGACCCCTGAGTCTGAGGGAGGAGGGGCTGGGGACCCAGATTCCTGAATTGCTTCAGCAGGACATATGTGGGGGTCAATTTCACCGGCCCCAGTCCCCGTAGTTAACTGGCCTGGATGGTTTTCTCTATCCAGTCAGTGAACTTGCAGAGGTTGGTGTAGACGCCCGGCACGCCGACTTGGCCGCACTGGGCTTGTCCAAAAGACACGAGGCCCTGCAGGGACCCGTTGCAGATCAGGGGACCCCCAGAGTCACCCTGTTGTGAAGAAAGAGAGAGAGAGGGAGAGAGTCAGAATCCGAAACACACAGGGGTGGAAATCGATGTGGGATGGGAGAGGAACCAAACAAGACCCAGCAACACGGCCCTTGGAAGTTCCATTCCAGAGCCCGGACCCAACTAATCCTGCTCCCCTATGTCCTACCTCTGGTGTCCTGCCGGCTGGCTGCTTCTCTCCGGTTTGCTGTTGATCTGTCTCTGTCTGTCTGTCTGTCTCTCCTGTGCCTCCCTCTGTGGCTTGTTTCTCCTAGTGTCTCTGTGTGTCTCTACATCTCTTTGTAGGATCTAGATGTTTCTTATTTCTCTCTGTGTTTCATCTCTGTAAGTCTGTCTGTCTCTCTATTTCTCTCTAGTATACAGTTGACCCTTCGACAGCACAGGTTTGAATTGTGTGGGTCCGCTGACATGTGGATCTTTTTCAACAAATATATTGGAAAATTTTTTGGAGATTTGCAACGGTTTGAAAAAACGCAGCAGAACTGCATCCTAGAAATATCACAAAATTTAGGGGAAAGTTAGGTATGTCATGAATGCATAAAATATAATAAATGGATTGTTTATGGTATCAGTGGGCTATTGGTAGTTAAGTTTTGGGGAGTCAGAAGTTGTACGTCCCCACGTTGTTCGAGGGTCAACTGTATTATTCTGTGTGTGTTTCTGTCTCCCTGTGTCTCTCACTATTTCAGTTTCTTTCTTCCTTTACTTCTCCTTAATCCTGTGTCTATTTCCCAGTTTCTCCCCGTCTCTCTCTCCCTGGTCACTATCTCCCTGTGTGTCTCTCTGTCCCCGCGTCCCACCGCAGTCCCCATGTGTCTCTGTCACCCCCTTCTCCAGCTGTCCCCGCGTCCCCGCGCCTCCCGCTCCTCACGTTGCAGGAGTCCTTTCGGTCCTGCCCGCCGCCCGCACAGAGCATGCTGGGGTGATACACAGCGTCATAGAGCTCAGTGCACTCCTCCTCGGCCACCACGGACACATTCGCGCACTGGAGCACGGTGGGCAGCCTGCCTGGGACACAGAGCTCCGGGTCAGCCCCTGCGGCCGGCAGAGGACCCCTCAGAGAGGGCAGAGCCTGCCCACGAGCTCACCGTCCACCAGCAGACCCCAGCCAGAAACGAGGCAGGAATCCCCCGCGCTCGGACACAGGGAGGCGACGCTGATGTTCCGGATGGTGTCAGACTCGGACACTAATTCGTCCAACCTGATGAGCATGAGGTCGTTGGCGAGGAAGGGTTTGTTGTACTCCGGGTGCTGTATGGAGAGGGTGGCCTCCACCACCCGGCTGCCCGGCTCCTGGCGGGCCTCGAGACTGTGCAGGCCCAGCCCGACGGTGTAGGAGCTGGGGACACGGAGGGCAGGTGAGTTCTGCGGCAACTGCGTCGTCGTTGTCTCCGCTCTCATTCTCAGCCCGGTTCCCTGCCCAGACCCCATCCTCCTCGCTAAGCTCCGCGCTGAGAGCTACTTAATCATGCTCTCGAATCCCGATTCACAATAATCCGGGACAAGAACCTGCCATTGCTCGCTGCGGACTCAGCAGCTGAGCTGGGATTTCAACCCAGGGCTCTCCGGGTCCTTCGGAGCTCCGGCCCCCCTCGCCCGCCCCTCCGGACTCCCCCATCCAGGCTCAGCTCCTTCCCTCCCAGAGCCGTCTCAGCTGTTCCCCTGCACCCTGATACCAGCGCCCCCGCCCCGCCGGTGACGTCCGGGTCCCGCCCGCGGGCCCAGCCCTGCCCTGCCCACCCCGCACTCACTCCTGGAAACAGTGCGCGGCTGACAGCACCCACTGCGGGTGCACCAGGACGCCCGCGCAGAAAAATTCGTTGTCCAGGAACAGCGCGGCCTGCCAGGGCTGCGAGTGCGGGCTGCAGTCCTCGCCGTTGATAATCTGGCCGCCGGCACGCGACGCGCGCGATCCTGGGGGCGGAGTCAGGGCTGGGGGCGGGCCCAGGAGGCCGGCCCAGGGCTCCTGGGGGTGGGGTCACGGGGCATGGGCGTGGTGAGGGCTTCAGGGGCGGGGTCACGTGTGGGGGCGGGCTCAGGGGGCCTGGGCTGGGGTCCGGCGCAGGGGCGTGGGCAGCCCAGTGTCCCGGCCCGGCCTTCTCAGGGGTGACACCCTAGCTGTCACCATTCAGGGCGTGGTTAGGGCTTCCCCCGGAGAGTCAGGGCTCGGAGGGGTGGGTTAAAGCTCGGCGGCGGGGTTATGGGTGGGAGCCGGGCTACAGGGTCGCTTGGGTCAGGAGGTGCATTTCAGCTTTGAGTCGCAGACCCATCTTTGGGACTCATACCACACACAGGCAGCGTGCCAGGCACAGTCCCCAGCACAAGCGGAGCCCGCACACAGGCTGGGCGGGGAGGGGCGGACACAGCCAGACGCTCAGGCAGTCGGTCCCGCAGTCACGCCCAGCCACGAGCCCTTTCACACAGAACAGCATCATACACAAAGTCCCGTGACTCGGCTCCTGGGGGTCCGAGGGCTGAGGACCCAGGAAGCATCCCTCGGAAGCACTATCTCCCGCTTATCCGCCCCTCGCTTTCCCTGCCTGCCCTGCCTCGCCACCCCGTTGTCCCTCCACCATATGTTCAGAGGCACGAACCGCCAGAGGCGTTCACCCAATCACACACTGACCCTCGCAGGTCCAACCACACACCCCGCCGCACTGTCACACACGAATTCACCGCGACTGGAGGAATTACACGTGCACAACCACAGGGAAGCCGTCACATGCTGCTGTCTCCCGCGCAGCTTTACGGTCACAGGCGGGACACTGAGTCATGCCTGAACATCAACAAACGCTGTGCCCCCAAGCACAGACGGTCACACACGCACACTCAGATACCTGTGACACCGAAGATGAGGTACCCCAGGAACAAGCCCCAAGGGTTTCCCGCTGTGGCCACCATGTCAACACCTGAGGGTGAGACCGGCACTCAGGCAAAGCTGGGCATCCTCAGCCCAGGTCTCTCCATCCCTCTCTTTCTTCCTTCACCCCTCCTCATCCTTCTCTTCCCTGCCCTCCCCCTCCCCCCCGCAGGCAAGAACCTAGACCATCCCCACCCCCCACCCCAGAGAGACAGAGATTTAGAGACAGAGAGACGAAGGGAGAGGGAAGTAGGTGCACAGGGAGGTCAGGGAAAGGGTCTAGCCATCCCTGAACAGGGACAGGCGGAAGCCAGAGAGGCAGAACGTTTAAGAGATATACTCAGAGACAGGCTGAGAGTTAGAGACATGGAGAGAGAGATTCAGGGAGACAGAGAAAGAGAGAGGCTGAGGGGTATAGAGAGGGAATCGGAGGGACACTGCTAACTAGGGTAATATCTCGCTATCAGAACCAGAGACAGCCAGAGACCTCTTTGGAGAGAGGAGGAGGCAGAGGGTCCAGAGGCTGAGAATCGCAGTGACATGCAGGGGTGGGAGAGCCAGGTCGCAGACCGCAGGCTTTCAGGCGGTGACCACCCGGCCTCTTACCCGGCCCCCTGTGGCTCCCGGCTTCTGCTGCTGGGCTGCGCTCCCGCCTACTGCCTCCTGCAGGGGCCCCCATGGGGCTTATAAGCAGCCTCGTCAGCCTGGGCTGGCCTCCCCCCAGGGGCGCATTCCAGGGTCAGGTGCTGCCAGGCCAACTCTCTGGCTGCCTGGGTACCAGGCCGAAGTCAGGGGGCCCGGAGGGCGCTGGGAGCAGGGCCTCGGCGGGAGACCCCTGCCCTGCAGCCTAGACTCCACTCCCCGTCTCTCCTGGGTCTCTCCCCTCCCCACCCACCTCTTTCCCTTTCTGTGCTTCCCCAGCAAACTTTCCAGGGTTCAAGGCCAGCCTGCCCTTTGGGACTTGGGCAGGTGACGGCACCCCTGTCAGCCTCCATGTTCCCATCCGTGAAACCGGGGTGACCGTTCTTCTTATTCCCAAAGTGGATTCCAAGAGATACGGCGCGGACAGCGGGCAAGGCCTGGAGGCTCCCGCGGCCGGAGCGGGGCTGGCGGGGATGAGCGCAGACCCGGCACGGGCAGACCCCACAGGGATTTAGATACCAGGATTAAGGAGTTTGGGTTTTATTTCGGTGTAATAATGGATTTTAAGCACGAGGGTGGAGGGAGTGGTATTATCTTCTCTGCTTTTAAAAAACATCCAACCTGG